GCGAGGGGTCTGTAAGGTCCCCGGGTGTCACCTGGCAGAAACGCACCTTGCTGTGTTTAACCTCTCCCCACGTTAATGACGTAACGAGGCCAGTGCTGTGACGGTGACCGTGTTAATTACGAGATGGGGTCAGTTCTGTGTGGGTTTAGCCCCTGTCCTCAATTGCATCCGAGTTGGAGGGGTTTGAGTTGGACAACAGCAGCTTGCAGCAGCCTAATCTCCTAATTACAGCAGTAGCAGCACAAAGGCATCGTTAAACAAATTAAAACAAGCCGGCAGCCCGATCTCCGTTGGGAGGAGCGGATGAAGAGCCGTGGCCTCGATTCCTGGCTGAGCTGCAGACCCCAGCGTGTGATGACATGTCGCCTGTGGCAGAGGGGACATCCTGCTCACCTGGGGCTGTCCCCAGCACCGTGTCCCCCATGGCAGAGGGGACATCCTGCTCACCTGGGGTTGTCCCCAGCACCGTGTCCCCCATGGCAGAGGGGACATCCTGCTCACCTGGGGCTGTCCCCAGCACCGTGTCCCCCATGGCAGAGGGGTCATCCCGTTCACCCCGGGATGTCCCCAGCACCATGTACCCCATGGCAGAGGGGACGTCCTGTTCAGCTGTCCCCAGCACCGTGTCCCCCATGGCAGAGGGGACATCCTGCTCACCTGGGGCTGTCCCCAGCACCGTGTCCCCCATGGCAGAGGGGACATCCTGCTCACCTGGGGCTGTCCCCAGCACCGTGTCCCCCATGGCAGAGGGGACATCCTGCTCACCTGGGGCTGTCCCCAGCACCGTGTCCCCCATGGCAGAGGGGTCATCCCGTTCACCCCGGGATGTCCCCAGCACCATGTACCCCATGGCAGAGGGGACGTCCTGTTCACCCCGGGATGTCCCCAACACCATGTCCCCCATGGCAGAGGGGATGTCCTGCTCACCCAGGGCATGTCCCCAGCACTGTGTCCCCCATACAGAGAGAGAGTCTTTACCCTGGGAATATTTTTAATGCAGATTTGATGCATCTCTGGCAGTCGCGGCTGCTGGGAGTGGGCAGGGAGGGATTCACACGCTTTCCAGCCCGGGCTTTCCTGGAGTCTAACGGGAGCCAGGCGGTCCCTGGGAAGCCCAGCAGCCTCATCCTTCTGCCCTCCTCCAGAATCTTTTCACTCCTTCCTGCGATAGCTTTGGGGAATTTACAGCGTGAGCAAAAGGAAATGTTTCCCTTTGCCATTCTGAGTGGAAAATGGGGAAATTCAGCTGCAGCTGCTTCCACCTCTCTCCTTCCGATAACCGGAGCTTCTCCTGAGCAGTGAGCATCACCCAGGACGACAACCCTGTGCCGTCCAGGCTGCGCTGCGGGTGCGTGGGCCACCAAAGCTCAGGGGTGCTGAGACTGAGTCCCTGCCTAAAAGGGAGCTGCTGGGGCTGAGACAGAAGACAACATTTTTTGAAGCCCCGTACCCAGCACACGAGCAAAGTGTGAATAGCGGCAGCATCCGTGTTCCTCCCTCCTGTGCCGGTGGACCTGTGGGGTGGGGGGTGTGCAGCCCCCAGGCTGGGAGAGCCAGCGTCCCCCTTCTCCCTGGGCAGCTCAGCTCACGGGCACGTTGGCTTTCCCAAAATAGCTGTCCTTGGGGCAGGCAGGGGTTATCTGATCCTGCGGCTGCTCTTCTCTGCCCTTGGGCTGCTCGGCAGCACGGAGCCCTCGAGGAGCCCGATGGAAGCAAAGGACGGTGTCTTTGTCCTTAGCTGAGGAAGCGCAGTCTGGGAAGGGACGTGCACAGCCCAGGAGCAGTGTGAGCAAGAGAAAATCCCCGTTGGGGGCCACTGACTGCACCCCATGCTCAATGGCCGCGGATGCTGTTGCTGGAGGCAGGGGTGGCGATGGCCGGCAGAG